ATGTCCTTACCAAGGGCCTACACCGTCCAGCATTCGAAGACTTGATTGGCAAGTTGGGAATGATCAATATTTACCTCCCAACTTGAGGGGGAGTGTAGAAAATTAGAATTCAAACATGTTTCCGTTTTTATTTCCTATTAATTAGGATTGATTATGATTGATTAGGATTGATTATGATTGATTAGGATTAATTGTGATTGATTAGAATTGATTGTGATTAGGATTGTGATAGGATTGATTAGTCATCGCTTAGTCATTCTTAGCGATTCTTTCTTGTATAAATACTCACTCATGTAATTTATTCAATATCAATATACAAAAACTTCTTTTCAATATATAGCAATCCCTGAAGGATCTCTATGACCATCAACAAGATGTTGTCCTTCCCCAAGCCGGGTTTGAATGGATCAATCTGTGCTTTCAGGATTTTAAATCTATAGGGGAGTATAATTCTGTTATTCATCGAATTGTGTCCCTAATGAGTCTCTATGGCCAAAAGATCATAAAGACTGAAATGTTGGAAAAAAATATTATCTAATTGCTAGCAACCTTATATCTCTATTTTATTTTTTGTTTTAAATTTGTTTTACAAAAATCTTTAGTAAATGAGATGGCACAGGACTAAAAAGAAAATCAAGAATAAAATAGACCAAAAAATGAAAATATAAAAAAGACCAAACATAACTAAATAAAAAAGAATACAATAGACCAAGGATAAAAAAGAAAAAATAAAACTAAATATATTGGAAAGTCATAACTTTGATTTTTTTATTTTATTTTTTATCTTAATTTTTTATTCTGGTTATTTTTTTTTACATTTGGAATATTTTATTTTATTTTTAATTTTAGTCTTTTATGTTAGTGTTGTGATTTTTAATATATTTGATCTTATTTTTTCTTCTACTTTTTTTTGAATAAACCAAATGTATCTTCTACGGGAGGCAATCCTGTATGGGGCGAGTTTAGGATTAGAGCTTTAAACCCTTCCTAAAAATGGTACTAGGGAGGATCAGACACTTGCTCCCAACCCACCTACTCAACACCCATGCGCCAACGGAGCTACCATCATTTGGTTTCTTCAATTTTTGTGTGGTTATTCTATTTTCTTTTATTTTATTTCACACATTTGATTTTTTTACTATTTTTTTCTTTTAGTCTTTTATTAAGTGTTCTAAATTTTCATAATATTTCGTAAAAAGGGTAAATAGGCACATTTAGTTAATTTTCTAACAATGTTAAGGAGAGATATGGATGAAAAAATAGAGGAGTTTAAGGGATTAAAAGAAAAGCACAAAAGTGTAAGTGATTCTAACGCACTAACAATTGACCCATTGCACATGCCCCAACCATTAATTCAGAAAGCCCAAAGTCAATAAGAATTGTGGCCCACTAAATATGGCTCAATTGTTAAAAGAAGCAGTAATTTGAAATATAACAAATTACAATCAAATCCAAGTCAAAATGAAGCAACATATATGATTGCGATTTGTTTGATAAGAAAAGGAAAGCAACATATTTGACATGATTTGAGATCTAAGATTTGGGACGTATTTTGAATCATTTAATTTTAATTATTTGTTTATTTTTGGAGGTCAATTACTGTTATATTTATTTTAGGAATTTTATTATTTTTAGAATTTTAGATTTTGAATTTTGGATCAATTTGTAATTAGTCTATAAAAGGGTGCTTAAGACCCTTATTTTAGGAGTTGATTTTTTTTTATTTTCTTAATAGAAATTGAGAATCAGAGGGTTACTCTTTTATAAAAATCCCAACTTTCTGTTTAGCACTTTTCTATGCGTTTTCAACATTATTTGATAATCAGAGCTCTAGTTGTCACATAAATGACTGAACAGAACAATGACAGTCGAGGTCGAGCTCATGGACAACAGGGTCAAGGCGACGGTGGCGGTAGATGGCGTGGTAACACCCTTAACGGGTACAGCAGACTACCACACATCTACGCGCGAGACACCATAATTGTAGCTACAATGGCCGCTTCAATGAAAGACAAACTTAGGAGCTCGAACAACTGCTTTCCCTAAAACTAAAGGATGAGCCATATGAAGGAAAGGAGTTTGAAAGATCATCTCATGTAAAGGAAAAGAGCGAAAAACCATTCTAGAACCAAGAGCGACAAAGACGAAGTCAATCTGGCGATAAATCATTTTTTTGCTAATATTGCGGTGAAGATTGAGATCCCGAAATTCGAGGGCACCACTCATCTAGATGAGTTTATCGATGGGTTACGCACCGTCGAAAAGGTCTTTGACATCATAGACTTGACAGAAGACCAAAAGGTCCAGATCCATGATGAATTTGATGAAGAGCAAGATAATGAAAATCCCGTTATGGATGCTCTAGTTTATTATGAGTTCCCTATCTATGATAAGTATGATTGGGAGCAAGACGATGAGAATCCAAAGGTGGAAGAAATCTCTTGTAGTGATTTTAGTGGAAAGTCAGTTATTAGAAATTCTAATATCTCTGACAAAGAGGAAATTCTACCCAAAGATATCATGCAGAATGATCTTTTATTCAAGAAGCCTTTAGTTTGCAAGCAGTATTATGAATTTGGGGACAACATGCATAACAACCTCATGCTCCATAGAGATAAAGATTTAGCTTTTGATAGAAGTTTAATTGGAGATCGTTAGGGGCAATGGGACTTGTTGTTATATCAAATAAAATTTTCTTATGACGGATCACAAATGGGATCATTGAACCAAACTGCAGGCAATAGTCATTTTGGAATAGTTTATGGGTTTTGTCCATTTACTCCCTTAGAACTCGTACTTTTCTAGTTCCCAAGCAGTTTAATACGAATGCAAATGAACATACCAAACATATCAAAGAATTGCATTCACAAGTCTTAGCCTTAATTAGGAAATTTGGTGATATTGTACCAGAAGAGTTGCCACCTGGGTTACCACCTGAAGAAGTTGATATCAATGAAGACGAAGCAGATTTGAGGGAGAATCTTTTCCTAGTGGGAGAGGATGATGCACCCGAGCTGACTGACTTGGATTGGGTTTTTCATAGTTTAGGGTCTTTAAATAATTATTAGTTATTTATCCTTTTGTTATTTGAGCTTTTTTATATTTGAAGGCTTTTAAATAGTTATTAGTTATTTACCGTTAAGAGTTAGAGAACCCTATTGTTATTGGGTTGTTTTTGGTTAAATAAAATTAAGAAAAGAGAAAAGTATTTTCTCTCAATTCTTGTTTCGTTCTTTCTTTTTGTTTAGCCAATTGCTACTGCTTCAACATCATTTGGTATAAGAGCCCGGTTGCCTTCAACCAATGGCTGAACAAAATCGTAGATATCATCAATGGCAGAGTCATGAAGATAAGGGATGTGGATTCGTTCTTAAAGGAGACAGACAATCGCGTCAGATAGACCCACATGACATATAAAATGACGAGCTCGGAAGGCAGATCCAGGATTTAGAGCAATAACTTGAGCAAGCGTTGGACAAGAAAATCCAAGTTTTGGAGCGATTACTTGTGTGGGCGCAGAGAAAGAGAATTCAAGATTTGGAGTGATGACTCGTGTGGATATGTATGAAAATCCAAATTTTGAAGCGAGCTATTGTGGAGGCGCAAAGTATAAAAAATCAACATTTGGAGCGGTGACTTGCATGGACAAAGTTGGGCATTCAATCCGAAGAAGGAATGGAATTAGAGAACACATCTGATCATGAAGAGGAGGATGTCAATCTCTTGAGGATTCTAAATCAGTGACAGAATTGAGAAGTATGACCTAGAAATCAGTCCATTTTTCAAGATTTCAAGATGCAAATCAACATTTCTGACTTTGAAGTCTATGATCATAATCCAGTTTATGATGATTATTCGATCTATGACGATAATCCAATTTATGATGATTATCCAATTTACGATAATTATCCGATTTATGATGATTTTTCGATTTATGATGATTATTTAGTTTCTGATAAATCTAATGGGAAATTAGATGATGGAGATTTAATCGAGTAAGAATTGTCATTTCAGCTTCTACCTATGTTGTAGGAGAATTTTAATCTCATGTTATAGATACATCAAGTGTGGGACCCTCCTATTTAAAAAAACAAAAAACAAAAAAATGAGTGACACACATTTTTATGGTGTGTGTAGGAGGGTTTATTTTCTCATGCAACATGAGAAAAACAAATCCATTTATTTATTTATGTTTAGAGATTAATTATTATTATATTTATTTTAGGAAGTTTTATTATTTTTAGAATATTAGATTTTGAATTTTGGATCAATTTGTAATTAGTCTTTAAAAGAATACTTCAGACCCTTATTTTAGGAGTTGAATTTTGTTATTTTATTAATAGAAATTAAAAACTAGAGAGTTACTCTTTTATAAAAATCCAAACTTTCTGTTTAGCCACTTTTATGCGTTTTCGACATCATATTCAAAATAATACCAAAGAAGAATTTTTTTAACTTTTTCCAAACATAACCCCTTATTTTATTCCTGGATGATAAATAAGATTTCCAAAATACAATTGAATTAAAAATTAAAATTTTAACGCAATTATATATTCAATAAATAAATAAGAAGTATCCATTTCTCCGATATGGGAATAATAATTGTGCTTTTTTTTTTTTTTTTTTTCTGTATCTGTCTGAGTAGGAGTTAATGGAAGAGAAAGAGACTCAGTGTATTTGAAATTTAAAAATTTGCATTTGGCTGTATTACTCTTTCCACATAGGATTATTGGTTCCAACAACAAAGATTGTTCATTATTACTTCTTTAAAAAGTCGGTATCAGAAACAAGGAAGAAGAAGAGAAGACGATGCATTCATAGCCATAATAATAATGTTTTGTTTCATTTTCAAATCTCAACCTTCATTTCACACTCTCTTTGTGAAAAAGAAAAGGGAAAAAAAAGAAAGAACTGATTTTGATTTGTGATTTCTCCAAAGCCCCAAGATTTATATTGAACTCGTGACTTTCTCTCTCACATTTCTCATGGTAAACCAAAATGGACTTACATTGACTTCACCCTTAGATCTCTCTTTATTTATTGCATGACGCAATCTCTCATCTTTTTAAAACATTTTCAGAGATCATTTGTATTGTCACTCACTTCATTGCTTGCTGTTACAAAGGTTGAATTTTTATTTTTATTTTCGTTGTTTTTTATTTTTCAGCTCTCAGTTTCTGAGATTGTTCCTTCTCTTTTTCCCTTTTTGAGTGTGATTTAGTGCATTTTGTGGTTAATGCAGAGGTGGGTCTGTGCCTAGTAAAACTGAAGTACCTGCAAATGGGGTGTTTGGTTCTTTAAAGTTTCTGACTTTTTCCAATCTTGTGCTTCATAGTTTGATGTTTGTAGCATTTTGGTTCCTGGGTCTGTGTTTATCTTTGCCCTTTATCGTTTTTGTCTGTATTTGAAAAATTTGACAAATGGGTTTTCTTCCTAATCCTAGGCGTTATTATCTATGCATTCCTAACCTTATTTTTGTTTTTCTTTCTTTTTGGTTTGTTGATGTATTGGTTTTTCTTCCTGCAATTCAAGAACTGGATTCATGACTGCTAAGGTTTTATGTTTGAAAAGGATTTTTTTCTTCTTCTTCTTCCAGTTTTCAAGAACAATCGCACTTCTTCTCTACTTTTCTTTTAAAGCTTGGGTGTTTACATATCAGCAAAGCTCAATTGATTGCTATACTGTTTTCTTTAAAAAAAATAAAAATAAAATTGTGTTCTTTTGACTTATCTTTGGATCTTTGTTATGCAGTAGAAGAACTTGAAGGGCAAAGGAGAGCAAAATTTGTGGATTCGAGGTAGACTAATTTAAGATAATTTGTAAGTAAAATGACCATTGATATGCCCCAATCCATAGCCCAAAATGTTAGGGCAAGCAGATCTTCCTTTAGCTCTAGCAATGCCAATGAGGATACCCCTGTACGCAACTATGCTTCTGTTAGCAATGATGATGACTATGACAGTGATAGCACCAATTTTGCACCACCGTGAGTATCCTCCTTTCTTTTGTAGATATATTGGACCTTTTAAAATGATGATCTATTTTGTAGTGTTAAAAAAACTTTATATGCTAAAATCTAGTATATGTATCTACAGAATTGTAGGATATTAGAATCTCATTGACGTTTCTTCTCTGGTAGATTGTAAAATGTATTTGTTGCAAGAAATAAGCATAATTATAATCACTGAAAAATTGAACTTATTAAACTATAAATTTTATTTTCTTTCTTTAGTATAGTTCTACAACATTCAAATAACCCTTATAACTCACACATGCTTCAAACTTTATATCCACTCTTGGAAGTTGCACCTAGGGGTGTAAATGGGCCGGACGCCTATTAGGTGCCTACAACTTGACCTGACCCATTTTAAAAATAGTACAGGTTTGAACTCATTAAAAGGTCTCTTTAGAAATCAGGTCACAAGTCTATTTTAAAAGGCATGGGCTCTAGGCCTGACCTGTATTTTTCAATAAAAATAATATTTTATTATTTATTAGTTTTTCTAACCATTCTCTAATGAATTTGGTTATTACTTTTTGTTGAGTGGGATTATGTAATACATGAGTGAATGAGTGAATATGTTTCGTTGTTTTGAAATTTAATTAAGTCTTCTGCATTCTAGGCATTATTTTGTTTTTGATTTCCCACAACGTAATTAAATTGTTAATATTTTGGGTTGTGGTTCCATCAACTTAAACATACAAAAAAAAAAAAAAACGAAGTAATTATTACCTATAATTTACAGAGTGCAATGTGCCATTTTTGAAAGCGTGATAGGCTTAATAGACCATGCTGAGCTTTGTATTTTTTAGAAACAAATCAGGCAAAGCCTATAATTTAGCTTGCATCAGGCTATTAAGCCAAGCCAGACTTGAAATATTTTACGCAAGCCTAGCCTTTTTAGATTAAATCTTGGCTTGGGCTGCTCATTTACACCCCTTGCACCTCTAGGCAACCATTTATAAACTTTCATCTTAAAACATTATTCTTGAATTCTGTTCTTGTTGACCATGATCAACCTTACTCTTTGCAACATGATTTTTCCCCCTTTCCCCTTGAACTGTGGGGCTAGTTTCATGACAAGCGAGACTGAATTTTCTGTTTGCTCATGTGCAACATTCTCTCGTTTGTAACTTGGTATTTGATTTGTTAGTTGCAGCACGCCAGTGGCTGTTCCAGCAGAACTCGCTGGAGCTGTACCCTTGATTGACAGATTCCAAGTAAGAAAAATTATATCTTAAAATCTAGATATAAATATATTTTGTTCAAATAATATTGTTTCTCGTTTAGTTTTGTGTCTTAATGATTTGTCTGACTAATTACCTGAATCAATGGTGGTTTTTAGTTTCTTGCTTTATGTGCATGAACATTTGATGTCACTAAGATTCTGATAATGTTGTTTGTCAAAGGTGGATGGATTTTTAAAATTAATGCAGAAACAAATTCAATCTGCTGGGAAACGTGGGCTATTTTCTAAAAGATCTATAGGTACCCAAGTTCGAGAAAAATTTACATTTGAGGACATGATGTGTTTTCAAAAGGTAATCAAATCAAATATCAGTTTTTTCAAAATGTGTGTTGTTAAAATTCTTTTTAATGTATGAAGATCTAACTCAGAAATTCCTGTAGGATCCAATTCCAACCTCATTGCTTAAGATTAATGGTGATTTAGTAAGTCGGGCAACAAAATTATTCCAGATAATTTTGAAATATATGGGAGTTGATTCCTCTGATCGTGTAACTCCAATAAGCTTAGACGAACGAGTTGAGCTTGTAGGGAAACTATACAAGCAAAGTTTGAAACGTTCAGAACTCCGAGATGAACTTTTTGTTCAGATATCAAAACAAACAAGAAATAACCCTGAGAGGTATGCAACTTTTAGATTTGGTTTCGAGCGTCATGCTTCATCTTTTCTTGGCCTTTAATCATTGAAGATATGTCTGCTGTGGTTTTTGTACTAATGAATAAATATCTGTCTTGTCTCAAAAATAGGCAATACTTGATTAAAGCATGGGAGCTCATGTATTTATGTGCATCCTCCATGCCTTCAAGTAAAGAAATTGGGGGTTATCTATCGGAATATGTTCATAACATAGCACATGGTGTGACTACTGATCCTGAGATCCAAGCCCTTGCATTAAGTACATTAAATGTATTGAAGCGTTCTGTCAAGGCTGGTCCCAGACATATAATACCTGGGCGTGAGGAGATTGAAGCTCTGTTGACGGGGAGAAAGCTTACAACTATAGTGTTCTTCCTAGATGAAACATTTGAAGAAATTACATATGACATGTCAACTACAGTTGCTGATGCTGTTGAGGTACTTTGAAAGCCTTATATGCTTCTATTTGCAATTGCTTGCATATCTAACTGATGTAAATATGTAGGAAATATTATGGAAGATTGAAAATTCCAGTAGGTGAAATGTGAATGACTTGAACAAAAGTAATTTGGAGAGGTTAAAAAAATTTGGTCTCTTGACAGAATCTACTCAATCTAAATAAAGAAATTCAAATGCATCCAATTTTATATACTTTTGGATTAAGGCTTTTAGTTGCATATGACAATCTTTTTATGTCGTCTAAGTGATTAAGTTGCTAAAGGTTTTTAGCATGGCCCTAAAGATGGAAGTTTACTAATCTTTTGGGGTAAGTGGGTCATGCCAATTCATGACCTACTGCATTTGCAGTGATTAAGATGTTATCTCTACCTTTTAAGGCAATAGTAGTCAAACAGAAACTTTAAACAGTTGGTGTTAACTAGGTGCCTTGCGTCAACTGAGTTGGAAAATGTGCTTTATTTTCCTGGATTATATATGTACACCAAGAGGGTGAGCTTGGAGTGGTAAAGTTGCTCCTTGGTGACCGAGAGGTCACGCGTTTGAATCCAGGAAATATTCTCTTTGCAAAAATGCAAGGGTAAGACCATATATAAGAATTTCCCTCACCCCTTCCCTCGCAAGTTGAGGCTTTATGAAGAGTGATTTTTATATAGTTCATACACTATTATAGTTTATTTATAAATGGGGAAGGATCCGTTTACAAACTTTTTTGAATTTTTTTTACAAATTACACTATGTTCTCCCGGGAGAACATAGTGTAACTAGTGTTCTCCCGGGGGAACATAGTGTAGTTTGTAAGAGTTTGTAAACAAAAAAGTTTGTAAATATAACCTGTCCCTTTATAAATATATGATTTGACTATTTAATTTTGTGGCTAATTGGAGGAAGGGTGTTGCTTGGTGAAATCTGCTTCAGATTTGTAAAGAATCTTGAGATACACCACCCCAAAAGCTACCTCAAAGGGTGGGAGTGCCCAAGACCTTATAAACTCCACATTAGTTGCACATACAACCAATGTGGGACTATATATCTCAACACGCCTCCTCACACGAGAGCCCATTGGGCTTGAAGAGTGGATAATGCAACAGGCCCATCCTACCTGTGCTAAGAAATTCCACGAGAGAAAGTGGGGGGCGGCGAGACTCTGATACCATGTAAAGAATCTTGAGATACACCACCCCAAAAGCTAGCTCAAAGGGTGGGAGTGCCCAAGACCTTATAAACTCCACATTAGTTGCACATACAACCAATGTGGGACTATATATCGCAACAAGATTCTATCAATAAGAAGAAATTTTTGTTATCAGCACTATCCATTTAATTATAATTCCTCCTTAATGTTCTTTTCATGGATATGCACTGCTTGTCCGCATCACCCTACTTCTCTGTTGTCTTATACATAAGCAGTTTTAACTTTTCAAAACATAATAAAATTGCTTATTATCTGTATTCTTGTTTCTTTAACTTGATGTGTCCTTATTAGCATTACGTATTTAATAGCTGCTAGATTGTGGCATTCTGTTCTTCAAAATGTTGTTTGATGAACAACATATTTTGTTAATTTTATTTATTGCTTGAAAGGATGCTATATTGTATTAGTTTCTTTGTTTCTGTTTGAAAATCTTGATACCCCCAATCACTTGTGTTTAATCTATTAAGTTTATATGCTTTTATTTCTTACTCAACTTCATATTTGCTCCAGGAACTTGCAGGGCTCATTAAACTGTCAACATACTCTAGCTTTAGTCTGTTTGAATGTCATAAAGTTGTTACTGGCTCCAGATCACCTGATCCTGGGAATGGCATGTTTTTCCCCTCTCCTTGATTGTTATAATATAATCTAGCTAAAATTAATAGTCTAACGGCTCCTTTTATTGTTACTCAGAGGAGTACTTTGGGTTAGATGATAACAAATATATTGGGGATCTCCTGGCTGAATTTAAAGCAGCAAAGGATCGAAGTAAGGGAGAAATCTTGCATTGTAAACTGATTTTCAAGAAAAAGTTATTTCGCGAGTCAGATGAAGCTGTGACAGATCCAATGTTTGTGATATTGTCCTATGTACAAGTATGTCTTTTCATTATGAAGCTTTAAAAAGGATTAAAAGCCTATCTAGTTTATGTATGAAGCTGCAATTTCCTTCAAGTTATAAATTTATTGATGCTGGATGTGTTGTTGTAGTTGCAAATGTCCTATGTACAAGTATTCCTTTTCATTTTGAAATCTTACGAATGATTAGAAGAATATCTAGTTTATGTATGAAGCTGCAATTTCCTTCAAGTTATAAATTTATTGATGCTGGATGTGTTGTTGTAGTTGCAAATGTCCTATGTACAAGTATTCCTTTTCATTTTGAAATCTTACGAATGATTAGAAGCATATCTAGTTTATGTATGAAGCCATAATTACCTACAAATTATAAATTTATTGATGCTGGATGGGTTGTTGTAGTTGCAAATGTCCGACGTACAAGTATACCTTTTCATTTTGAAATCTTGCTAATGATTAAAAGCATATCTAGTTTATGTATGAAGCTGCAATTACCTTTAAGTTATAGAGTTGTTGATGCAGCTGGATGTGTTGTTACAGTTGCAGCATGATTATATTTTGGGTAATTACCCTATTGGAAGGGATGATGCTGCTCAGCTTTGTGCGTTACAAATCTTGGCTGAGATTGGATTTGTTAGCACACCTGAATCGTGCACGTAAGTGATTTTCAATGTTCATTTTTTGCTGCTAAATATCTTGTAATACTGTTTAATGTCATTTAAATTTGCGCTATTGAGTGAACTTGTCAATTTCTGTTTCCTATACTCTGATTTCAACTGACCGAAATTCTGTATTTTTCAGTAACTGGAATTTACTTCTAGAGCAATTCCTGCCTAGACAAGTTTCAATGACACGAGGGAAACGGGAATGGGAGTTTGACATACTTTCTCGTTATCAGTCATTGGTATGGGAAGTCCATCTGCTTTATTCGTCTTTAGTCTTCAATTAGTGGAATAGGGGTAAGGTTGTTCCTTCGTGACTGGAAGGTCATGTGTTCGATATTGGGAAACAGCCTCTTTTGCAAAAATGTAAGGGTAGGGCTGCGTTCAATCGACCGTTATCCCTACCCTCGCAAAGTCGGAGAGCTTTGTGCATTGGGGTTTGCCCTTTCAAACTTCAATTAGTGATAACTATGAGAAATTTAATTTTTTCAGCTTGTGTTGTCAATTTTCAAGCCTTTCATTGTGCATGTAACTTCAGTCATTTTTTACTTTTGTGTTAGTTTTAAATGTATAAATATGGAAGTTGATATTTGCTTCTAGCATACACATTATAATTGATGAAATATACTGCTGAATTTTTTTTCTCACTCCTGATATAAGATTTTATTCCCTTTTAATAGGAGCATTTGACAAAAGATGATGCAAGACAACAATTTCTGCGTATATTGAGAGCACTTCCTTATGGGAATTCTGTTTTCTTCAATGTTCGCAAGATTGATGACCCTATTGGGCTCCTACCTGGACGAATAATGTTGGGAATTAATAAAAGAGGGGTATGACTAAAAAAGGAAAAAAATGGTTAAATATGATTTACAAATTTAAATATTAAAAATGAATTGTGCTATTAATTGTATGCTTTTTCTTGATCAATTGTCCATAGATTCATTTTTTCCGTCCAGTTCCTAAGGAATATTTGCACTCAGCTGAGTTGAGAGACATAATGCAATTTGGAAGCAGCAATACTGCAGTATTTTTTAAAATGCGAGTTGCAGGAGTTCTTCACATATTCCAGTTTGAAACCAAGCAGGTAAAATACCTTTGTTGATATTGCATAAGCCGTTATCACTTTGGAATTATTTTGCCTCACTGTCATTTTATCACTTTGTTGTAGGGAGAAGAAATTTGTGTAGCTCTTCAGACACATATAAACGATGTTATGCTGCGCCGCTATTCGAAAGCACGATCTGTGGCTACTGGTTCTTTGAATGAAGATACTTCTAGTAATTTTAAGCCTCCTAATTTGGAATTATATGAGAAGCGTGTAAAAGATTTATCAAAACTTGCTGAAGAATCTCAAAGAAATGCTGATCAAGTAAAGTCTAAGCTTCTATTGTATAATATAGTATGTTATGCAGGTCGTACAACAAAAACCAAACTGAACTATTAGACCTCGAGGACATTTTCTATGGCTTGCTGCATAGTAAATGGAACCTTTAAGACTTATTTGCTTCTTTTTTACCAGTCATAGTTGAGTTTTGGTATTAGTTGTCTTTGGCTAGAATAAGGAGACTTGTTCTTGCCTAAAGTTATCAATAATACATATGGAAGAATTTTATGTCCATATCATATAGGATGTCTAATGCATATTTTTCAGTAAATAATAAATAGTTATTATATTTTAAATTATCTTGAATAGGTGCTTGAAGAATTGCGTGAGAAGCAAAAACAAGAAGAGAAAATGCAAGAAGAATTGGAGGGCTTGAAAGAATCCTTAAAAACTGATAAGCAAAATCTTGAGGCTGTTACAAGTGAGCGGGATAGGCTTAGATCATTATGCAATGAAAAAGATAAGGCACTACAGGTAAAGATCTTGACTTCATTGAATGAATCTTTTTTTTATCTTTTTGTTGTTGACCTGTCTTCATTGATGCAATCGAACAGGTTACAATTCTAGAGAAAAGGAACATGGAAGCAAGGGTGGCCAAGTTGAATAATCTAGTGATTGAGAACACTTCCAAAAAGGATCTTGTTGGAGCAGCTAATAACAGAGTCAGATTCTCTATGAAACTGTTATTCATGCATTCTATATCACCTTTCTGAATAATCTTGCCAATTTTACTTTCGATGTATAAACTGTGGATTTTGGATGTATCCAACAGATGCTACCAAAGCTTGAAGATGAGCTAAAACTTTGTAAAGATGAGCTGCTTGCAGCTGAAGAAACTATTAGAAGGTTGTCAAGTGAAAAATTGATTTTGGAACAGAAGCTAATTGCGCATGAGAAAAGGAATGCTGAAGAGGTAACATAGAAGATTGGAAATCAGTATTTAAAATTAAGAAACCTTAAATTTAAGATGATTTTGGTTGTTGTAGTGCAGATTAGTTCTCTTCAACGGAAACTCGAGCAAGAATGCAAAACTGGGAAATCTGAAGTTTATGACCTTGAAAGGAAGCTAGAAGGATGTATACAAGAATTAGTGGCTGCTAAGTCTGCTATTTCAGTAAAGGATTCTGAGTTGGCTGCGTTGCAGAATGAATTGAAGGAACTAGAAGAATTGAGAGAAATGAAAGAGGTTTTGAGACTCTTATTTTATTTGTTTAACTGCTCCAAGTGTATAGTATAAAATAAAGGTTTCACTATGCTATTTTTTTTAACTTTATTTTGTGTTAATCTAAAAAAATAATTACATGTTTTATTATTTAGGACATTGATAGAAAGAATGAACAAACAGCTGCCATACTGAAGATGCAAGGAGCTCAACTAGCTGAAATGGAAGTGCTATATAAGGAAGAGCAGGTTCTAAGGAAGCGTTATTTTAATACAATAGAAGGTGGGTGACTAACTATTTATTTTGGAATTAAGTCTATGTGAATTTGTTGATATACAGACATAACTGACGTATACTCAACCTTGGGACTTGGTTTAATTTCAGATATGAAAGGCAAGATCAGAGTTTATTGTCGACTAAGACCTCTTAGTGAAAAAGAGATTGCTGAGAAAGAAAGAGAAGCTCTTACTACAGTAGATGAGTTTACAGTTGAATATCTATGGAAAGATGATAAACCAAAGCAGCACATATATGATCGCGTTTTTGATGGTGATGCAACTCAAGAAACCGTATTTGAGGATACAAGGGTAAGTCTTAGCGTAACAACTTAAAGATCATAGTTATTTCTTGCTTAAGGGAACATATATAACATTTTCTTAAACTCATTATTAATTTCTTTTTTATTCACAATGCAGTATTTGGTGCAATCTGCGGTAGATGGTTATAATGTCTGCATATTTGCTTATGGTCAAACTGGCTCTGGAAAGACATTTACAATCTATGGATATGAAAACAACCCTGGAATTACCCCGCGTGCTACTGCAGAACTTTTTAGAATTTTGAAGAGAGATAATAACAAGTATTCTTTTTCATTGAAGGTAACATTTCTTAAATGGAGATGAATTAGACCACAGTTCTCTTTTTGCTGGTGAAAATTGTCATTGATGTCATTACATCTAGCGAATGTACATATAAATATTCTGTGCTGGTAAATGATTAACAAACTTAAATGCACTGTCCATAACACCTCATTGGATAAAAAAATGACAGCGCATAAAAAATAATCATTGGATTCCAGTGTAAAGTTCTTTTACAGTGACAGCGCTTCAAAATTATACTCATGATAAAATAAATTTTTCAGTTTTTTATGTAATATTGAGTGAAGTTCTCCACAACAAATGATTGGAGTTCTGCAAAACTCAGTGCTTCTTGTCTTATGTAGACATCTCTTGTATCCATGATGCAGGCATACATGGTGGAGTTATATCAAGATACCCTTATAGATCTTCTGTTACCTAAGAATGCAAAGCATTTAAAATTGGATATCAAGAAGGATCCGGCGGTAATTATCTCAATGTTCTCATTGCAAATTTCCATTTGTAAATATTTTGTTAATTGAATGCAAAGCATTTAAAATTCGTTATCAAGAGGGATTTAAAGGTGCTTATCTATATGCTTGTAATTTTGATTTCTCAGTTAGAAAATTCACTGACCTGTTTGGTTGTGTTTAACATTTTTCAATTTCTACTTAACCATGCTTTCTAGCAATTTTTGAGGTAGAGTGCTTTTGTAACCTTTTGGAAACATTTCTAGATAAGTTATGAAAATTATGGAACTTGTGAAATCTGTCCAAAATTGTGGAATTCCAAGAATTCTATACCATGGATTGCTCTCAACCATAATCATAATGATTTTATTTTTTTTATTCTTTGATGTTAGGGAATGGTTGTTGTGGAAAATGTAACAGTTGTGCCAATTTCTACAATAGAAGAATTAAATAGCATAATACAAAGAGGATCTGAACGGAGGCATATATCAGGAACCCAAATGAATGAAGAAAGTTCAAGATCTCATCTTATTCTATCAATTGTAATTGAAAGCACTGACCTTCAAAGTCAATCAGTTGCAAGGGGAAAGGTATTCTTTACTCTCTTTTTTCCCCCTTTGAACAACAGTGATATAGTGTTGTTTAAGACATTTTAAAATATATGCCAGCATAAATATTTCTTTATTGTTAAGCAACCGTGTGGAAATATTGATTGTTTCTTGAGCCCAAAGCATTGTGAATGTTTACTTATTTTATGTTGGATTAACATACAGCTGAGTTTTGTGGATCTAGCTGGTTCAGAAAGAGTGAAAAAGTCAGGTTCTACAGGTAGTCAACTTAAGGAAGCCCAAAGTATCAATAAGTCATTATCAGCACTTGGAGATGTTATTAGTGCTTTGTCTTCTGGTGGTCAACACACACCTTACAGGAATCACAAGTTAACTATGTTGATGAGTGATTCTCTTGGTGGTAATGCCAAAACTCTCATGTTTGTGAATGTTTCTCCAGCAGAATCAAGCTTGGATGAGACACATAACTCTCTCATGTATGTTCTTTGTTCTTCCTTATGTTGATTTTCTTATGTTATTATTATTAACTTCAAAAGAGGCGAGCTTTGGAGCAGCCATAAGGTGCTCCTTATGACCGGAAGGTCATGGGCTCAAGTATAGAAAACAATCTCTTTGCAAAAATGTTATTAGTGCTCCTTATCCAAGGTCATGCTTTGGATGAGATTGCGTGCAAATGCAATCGACTTTCATCCTTACTCTCGTAAGTCAGAGAGCTTTGTGTACTAGGAGTTTACTCTATTATTATTAACTAGAAAAAGGTCAACCTTAATATATTTTAGTAGTTTGATTAAGCTAATATTCTCTCATGTTCTAAGAGTATTCCATTCTGCTTTTTGGTTATTTATTTTAGGTATGCATCACGAGTGAGATCCATTGTGAATGACCCAAGCAAAAATGTGGATTCAAAAGAGATAGCAAGACTGAAGAAATCGGTTGCCTATTGGAAAGGGCAAGCTGGTAGAAGACTTGAGGATGAATTTTTGGAAGAAATTCAAGAAGATCGACCAAATAAAGAGAGGGTGGATAATCGTAGTAGCTTAGGTAAGTAGGAGCTCACAAACAGCCACCACTACACTGTATTGGCATATGCTCTATTTTCTTTTTGGAATGTTCTATCAGTTTCCGTGATCAAACAGGTTGGATAGATTGTGTTATTTTAGATGGATCTAGGTTGTATAGTTGAATTTTATGTATATATTAATTTTTTTTTTTTTTGAAAAAAAGAGGTAATTTGTTTTTTATTATATAGAGGTGAAATGATTATGGTTTTTATTTTAATTTTTAAAAAACTAAGATGAAACTATATTTGTATTTATCATGCTCCAACTTAGATTGCAACTAGGTTCATTTTATGTATATATTATAAATCCTTTTGACTCTTGTACATGTAAATACGTACATTATTCTAGCTAATTTTTTCTTACCTTATGTGAGTATTTACAAAAGATTAACAAGACTTGTGAGTTTTTTTTTTTTTTTTTTTTTTTTTGAGATATTTCAATTGGTTTATAGTTTCGCGATCAGTCTGATTCGGCGTGGGTTCCGGGATTAAAGCTTTAAGTCCCTCCTAAAGATGGTACTGGGAAGAATCGAACACATGCTTTTATCTTATTTGCTTAGTTTTTTAGCGTATTTAAATTCCAGACCAAACAGTAATACAAAAAAAAAATTCCAGACCAAACACGTGAGTTTCTAAATGGGAATTGCTTTGCCTGTAGTTTACGTTTCATTTTTTTTTACGGTTGATTGTGAGAAGACAATTAGGGAGATGGGCTTCATCTATATCACATTTTCTTCCTGAGCGAGAATCATTGATCATTAGGGAAACAAAAGCCTGGTAACATTCTAACTAAAGCCCATTCTGGTCCTATGGTTTGCCAAAGCATGTGTTTAGAGCTTAAAATGTGTTATATGTAATGGTAAAGTGTGTGTTGAGAGTATACAAATCTAGACAATCCTATCACTACCTATACAGCCAAGGAAAAATAGAGATGCACAGAAGGGTTTGTGTTCACAACCTTGCTTTTTATCTGAACAAATCTCACATTGAGCATTCATTAGAACAAACAAATTGAGTTGTTGGTAAAAGTTGTTCCTAGCTTAAATTTTGCATATGTGATGAGAAGCCCACATCAAGTGAGCACCAACAAATAAAAGATGCTAATAAAATAAGCTAGTTTATCTGATGATATCGTAAGTCTCAATTTTTTTATACAAAATATTGAATTCTAACTTTACCGGCTCTATTAATTCCTTGTTAACAAATAAGGTATTTTTTGTGAACTGTGTGCGAGACAATCTCATTTTAGTAATTTTTTTTTTAATATCTTTTTAAAAAGGTAGAACACATTGAATTGTGTATATAAAACACACATAAGATTATTTATTATTCTAAAAATCTAAGCAACTCTTGATGAATTGAAATGAATCAATCTAAGATTTTTTTGAAATAGAAAAATTCAATTGAATATATATACTAATAATTTGTGCCCAACAGGATTTGAACCATTAGTCAACGGTTTTTTTTTTTTAACTTTTCTTTTAACGAAATTAAATAAAAAAACTCAAAAAAAAGGAATCATATAGAATATATTCTATAAAATCTACTCTATAATATATAGTTCTATAAAATAAATAATCAAATTAAAATATAATATGCATAACTAAAACTAAATTAAGAAATTCAAATGGGTTACCAAAAAAAGAAAGAAATTCAAATGAATAATTAACTAATTTACGAAATAAAAAATATTACTAACTTACTAATTAATTTTTTTTCACCCTTTGGTCAATATGCCCTAATATAAATTAAAATTTATTTTATATTGAAGGATAAAAATGAATTCTTTATTAATACAAAAAAATAAAATAAAAAAGAATTCTTTACGTTCTCCCAAGTAGCAGAGGTGAGCTTCCTCAAATATCCTTCCCCTGGCATCCAATTTGAAAAGAGAAAAGAAGAGGTTCCTCGAATTCCGAGTGCATTGGTCTTCAGGCACTGAATCGTCCATATTGGGTTCGTAGCAACATTTTTCTCACTAGTTGGAAAAGGATTGAGGTTATACTAAAACTAGATCTTATATTTCTGTTTGACGCGAATGGTCTTTTTTAATGAAAATAAAAAATAAAAAAATCCCAAGTACGGTGTTGATTCGTGTATTTTCAACCATGAGAGAGAGAGAGAGAGAAAATGTTAGAATATAGATTGAAATTGAAGTGTTATGATAGAGAGTAGAGAGTAAGGAAAAGATAACTATTGATTTGATCATGGATGCTTGAAATTGAATCATATGACCTGATATTGTGAAATGAGATGATAGATAAGATGATTTATTCCTAAAACTAACTTTTAGATGTGTATTGGTAAATGAAAATTTCATTATGGCAAAAAAGAAGAAGTGAGATACACTATTACATTCTTGCTGCTTATAGATGTAGTTGATCAGGGAAAATACAGTGTTAACTATACACTAGTTCTGGTAAGTAGTTAAACAGAAAACTGAATAACAGAATTTGGTTAATAAGCATAATAGAAAGTAGTTAAGTAACAACTTCTTCTCCACGTGTTGCACGTGGTGGTGATGCATGGTGAAGATCAGAAGCTGAAGCTGAAGCTTCTGTTGCTGCTGTAGAGTGCTGTAATAATATCTGCGATAGGGAATCTTATGGGATTTTTTTTTTGTAGTGTATATTGGGGAGAAATGCAAGATCCAAGGAATCCTTTATCAGAGAAGATTATGAAATATTAAACCATATTATGTTATGGGAAATTTCAACTACCAGAGAATTTGAGCTACCATTATCTATTCTAATAATAGTAAAGAACCATTTCAACCTCAAAGTTTAAGTTGTCAAGTAATTAATAGTTTTTTTATATTTCTCTAACACGCTCCCGTATACGAGAGCACATTGAGTTTAAAGAGTGAATGATGCATCAGGCTCATCGAACTTATGACTAGTTAGTCATGTCAGCTCTCGTATCATATAAAACGCCAATTCAATCCAAAAGTTTAAATTTTTAGGTGAGCCTACATTAATTGTTTTTTTTTTTTTATATTTCTTTAATAGACTATAATGTAAACCAAAATGGGATTAGTCAAAAGTTTTTCAGCTCAAAGTAATGTATAAGAGACTATGTTGCAGCAACTGACAAATAATAATGAATTTTCTTAGTACCTTAAGGGCTTAAATATATCTTCTCTTTGGATTCTATTTTTGGTAACTGTTGCTGCTCCAAACATATAACTAACATAACTTTGGCAGTGATCATCTAGTTTGCATAAGGATTTCAGTATGAATGGTTGTTCTAGTGACTATAGGATTCTCAAAGCTCTTAAGCTAATACAGATATTTACAGGCATTGCTATCTGATCAACCCATGATTTCCATGTGCAACCTGGACAACCAAAGGACTGGTGACTTGTGATCTTCTATTCGTCCATGACAAGAACCCAAATGCATATCCCTTTGAGGTAGCTGTTACTTTGAAATTCACAGTGAACTTGATTTTCTGCCCAATTCCTGTGAAGATTAACCGGTTCGGCATAACAGTGACATCAACACCAGGGGGTGAAGACACTACAGCTTTATATATACTTCTTGCTTTTCCAACATTAGTCACAACCCGAGTAACTGAAAAATTGTTCTTAAGATTAGGCACTGTAATAGATGGATAGTTTAGGTCAGATGCAGTACTGAATGCCCTATCACATGTGCTGTTGTCTCTAGTAACAAGATGGAGTGACCGCTGATCATAACCAATTGAACAGAGGAATGCAACAAAATCTGTTGGTTCTGAATCATAGATGAGATAAGGCTCAAGAACTCTTGCAGGGTTCACAAACCCTGATCCATAATCAAATGAATTAGCCCTTCTTTGTTCAGGATCTGCTTTGATGGGTCTGTGGCGCTTATCTAGAATTGTAGCTGCATAATGAACTTATGATTAGTTTCTTGAGTGGAAAGCATATATTTCATCTTCCTTCTTTTTGGTGATAAGTAGAATTGTTAACAGGGGAGGGATATTTTGAATCTAGTGCAAGTATAAGAAGACTTACTCCTCATCTTAGTTATTGATCTCCGACGGTTGTAATTTATTAAATTATACTCATAAATTAATTATTAATTCCTAATAAATTAGGGCCATCATATGCATGAAAATCAATGGTTGAGATGAGAAATAAGACTTTTTATTATTACACCGGAGTCAAAAGATTCCTCCTCTTGTTAATAATGTTGAGTGTCTAGCTTTAGAGATATAGTGACAGAAGGAATTTAATGTACTAAGGAGTTTTGTTTGAACTTGCATAATTAAGAAGAATCTCTAAGCAGATTTATATATATAGGACTCTGGCAAGTGATATTAATATCAATATATATTACCAGTTGTCATGATGGCAGATTTGATAGCAGATGGAGACCAAGAAGGATGGACAGCTTTGACTAGGGTTGCAATTCCAGTTACATGAGGACAAGCCATAGAAGTTCCTGAGAGAATGTTGAACATGTTTCCAGCAGCTGGAGACCATGCTGCCAGGATATTTAGTCCTGGAGCTGTGACATCAGGCTACGTAGCAACAGCAGTACAATCAGAAGTCCATGAATGAAGTGAAAAATAATAACGAAATTATAAAAAAAGAGAGAGCCAAAGATAGATTATCGAAATTCATTTGCATATTAATGAGAGTATCACCTTCAAAATTTCTGGGTTTAAAGCATTGGGGCCTTTAGAAGAAAATGCTGCCACACGGGGTGCAGGTTGAGCTCCTAGTACTGTCTTTGCTCTAAATATCCTTGACAAAGGCATACTGTTCAGAATATAACATGATGCTAGGTTAGACTTCAGCACATGAAAGTAAAAGCTGAGTACATTACAGAAATGTCAATTTTTTCCCCCCTCTTAACATAAAACAAACCGTGTTCTCTTGAGATAGGATAGAATCTTTTCTCCTATTTTTCTTCCAACAATAGCTGAAGGGATCACGAATGGGATGGCAACATCTTGATCTGTCTCATCAATAAGTATCATGCCAACTCCACCTGCCTCTTTCACTATCTTGCTCTTTGCCACCTTTGACTCCGTTGAACTCTCTACATGTCTACACACCAGAACCTTCCCTTTGGTCTTAGTTTTATTCAAAGAACTCTCTAAGCAGTAACTACAGAAGCAAATGAAA